GGCATCCACCAGATTGGTAAGGGGAAAGAAGCCAAAAACAACTTTCGTAATAATCTTCTGTAAATATGAGAGAAACCCTGTGGGTCTGAGTAACTCATCCTCTTGGCTTCACCTAAAATAGTTTAGGAGGAGGTCGGTGAACAAGGGAGGTTGGTGGGGAATAAAACAAGAAGGTCAATAAGGGAGTTTGTCAAGGAGAAACAATAAACAAAGGTATGCAGATTTAAGTTCTGCTTTCTCCAATGAAAAGAGAGAAGATAATTAAGTGGGAATTGCCCTTAAATAAAGAACTGCTCCTTATATTCATGTCAAAGTTTTTTTTTTCAAAAACAACTCAACTCAGCTTTCGGAACACATCACATGCTATAAACTTCCTGCCAAGGAAGAAGTATTTTGAAGTGGCAGATACAGGGATCTCCTACAATTGCAAATTCTGCAACACACTGTTCAGGGCCATCTGACAGATGGGCTATCAGACCTTAAAACCTTTACAGCTTTACATTTAGAGTGACAGTTATATTGGAGATATGTTTAAAGTTTTCCCCAGTAACTTATTTATAAATTTAGTTAGGCATAATATCATGGTCATGTATCAGGGTCCTCTTAGACATCAGGTTTGTAATTTTTGTTTTTAACCCTTTTTTAAATTTTTTTTAAAAGATTAATTTATTTATACATACAAGAGCTGGGGTACAGGTCAGAGATGCGGGGGGGTGGTGAGAGAATTCATCAGAGACAGTGGGGAACAGAACAGGCAGACTGACTGAAATACACTGCTAAGGGGAGCAGTGGGCAAGTCAGGAGAGGTCTGGCCAGCGGGGGGATTAAACTCATGCTGCAGAGGCTGCAGATTGCTTCACAGTGTGGTGCTTAACCCCTTGCACCACCAGGGAGGCCCTTTTTAGCCCCTTTTTATTTCATTTCCTCAAAACAACACTTACTCAATTTGAAAAAAAAAATCTAGTAGCACGGACAAAAAGCAAAAGAGGCATAGGGAATGACTTCTATAGAGAAAAGGTGGAAACAAAATCAAGAAATTGTGTGATTGGCTATGGCTTAAGAGTTTTATTTGGAAAAGTCAAATTGGCTGTTTATGATGGGTGTTCTTACCTTTTGATTTCATACTTTGCATTTACAGACTTAGGTTTTGGTTTATTTACTTAGGTTGCTAAGTGTTAGAACAAATTTATCCTCCTTGTTTAATTTAACATACCTATGTAAATAAAGATGTCCTTAATCGTTATGACAGCAATTTAAGGTGTTTATATTGCTATGACAGCTGCTGCTAACAAATCAGACACTAGGAAAAGGGACTCCAATTCTCCAATTTATGCAGCTTCAAGTAGCAGCAGTCTGACTGTTTGCACCTTTTAATTAATTTTACTTAGGGTATAATAAACTTGCTCATAAACTAGGATAGTCATTAAGAACTTATAGTACTTTTATTTTTTCATATTTCTTCAATCCCAAGCTCTTTTATATTTATCTTCTCACTGAAAAAGAAATATGCATTAAATTTATGTATTTCTAAAGTTTTGTGCATTTGTGTATGTGTGTGATATCTGCTCTTTACAAAAAAATTCCCTTCTCTCTGAATAAAAGTACAGTTGCTGCAGGTTTACTATGTACCATAACCATACCACAAGAAATTGAGTTGACAAAGGTCATCTTCAAAATGGTTTCTTCCACTGAATTAAAATTGAGCATTGGAGTGAGATGAATTAAACACTTTTTGGGAAAATATCTAGAGCTTGGTAGTTACCTCCTAGTACTCTTGTTTGTCTAGAGAAGTACAAAATTAGACATTTCATCAGATGGAAAAGTGACAATACAGAGAGTTCAATTAGTATCAGCCTGACTTTAGGATCAAACCACAGGGTTCATCTTTGATCCACCATATAAGAGTTGGGCAAATTGTAGAAGTTATACCATATCTTGAACCTCTGTGTATTTACAAGTATAATTATTTAAAATAGAGTATTTTATTACAGTAATTTTTATTTTTTGTGATTCATTTCCACATTTTCAACAAAATTATGAAAATAAAGTTAAGTTTTATATATGCTTAAGTAAATATTATAACATTGTATATTGGGTAAAATTACTTGTATAAGCAGTCAATTAACTATGCATTTACTTTTTCATGAGTTTATTTTTTCATGTCAGAGAGTTGGGACTCCTAGTCTTACTTTTCTAGTAACTACTCTAAATTATTTACCATTCTCATATTTTATAATTAGCCATTGTTCTGGAAGTTTTACATTTCTTTTGATTGAGTAATTTTACTCCATATTCTTAATATGTTTTTTCTACATTCTAAGCTGATATTTTAGTCAAAGTGAAGTAGCTTATGGTCTGTTATTCCATATAGATTTTTGTCCCTTTGTTGCTAATATTTTCTATAGTAAATATTTTCTATATTTTCTAAATTTTAAAATTTTCTAAAATATTTTCTATAATTTCTATAATTATAAAATAATTTATACCTGAAATTTGTAAGCATATACAAAGCCTGTACAGTTTTTTCCCCATTCCAAACACTTAGACTCTGTAATATGTATACTTTATTGAAATCAGAAAACACATTCTATGCCCAATGTCTAGCAAAGTTAGACTCTTGAGTGTTTGACTCCTATTCTAATTACTAATGCTATTAAATCCCTTTGGCTTTTGAATAACATAGCATGAGAAGGCCATTCATTTAAGTGATTTGCAGGTAAAAGGACATAACCTGAAGCAACCATTCAAAGAAGGCAATGTGAATATATGTAAGATATCTAAAGTTGTCTAAGATGCCAGTCTCACTCAAAAGACACAATGAGCTATAAAATAACACAAACATCTATAACATCTTGAGATGCAGCAGAGCACTGATGTACAAGGGACTCTAAGCAGAGGACTAACTTCAAGTCTGAATTGTATAAATTAGTGGTTGTGAGACTTGGACAAGCTATAGAATTTATGAAACCCTCACTATTTCAAATCTACCATATACACAAAATAATACTGTCTGATTTTTCCATAATTGACTATTAATATAATGGCCAATAATAGGAAAATTGACATGGAGCTCAAATCAGATTATAGAGAGTTGGCCTTCTTAAGATTTTAGCTCTGGTGTGCAGACTATTTGGAACTGAGAACAATGAAGGCCCTAGAAAATTAGAAGGAACACTTGCCCTTCCCTTATACATTTGTCTTCCCCTAATTATTGCAGCACAGCTTACAATAGCCAAGTTACAGAAACAAACTAAGTTCCCAAAGACTGATGAGTGGTTTAGGAAGTGTAATATATACACAATGGAATACTACTTAGCATTAAAAATATTAATAAACTCCTGCTATTTGCCCATTTGCAGCAAATTGGATTAACTCTAGGTGGTTATGTTAAGCAAAATATGTCAAGAGGAGAAAGGCAAATAGTTGATGATATCACTTTATATGGATATAGCAAAACAAAAAGGGTCAGATAAACCCAATCAGTAATAAAACCTAGAATTCTGACTGCAGAATTGAGCCTACCAGACAGTGAGAAGAGGAAGAGCAGAGTGTGGCAGGGGCACAGTGGCTTCTCTGATTTCATTGATGAATCAACAAAGACATCACTAAGGCTTACATCAAAGAGTTCCTTGTTGAAGAATTCTGGTACGTTGGTGGTGATTAACATCTTCCGAAGGGTGTGATATTTGACCTCTAAATTATATACTGTATTGTCCTCAACAATCTTGTTGTTAGCAACAAAAAATACACATAAAAATAGTAGAGAGACCTAACTGTCCATTCACTGATGAATGAGTAAACAATGTAATTCATCCATATGCTAAAAAATGGAATACTAGGGGCTCCCCTGGTGATGTAGGTGGTTGAGAGCCATACTATGAAGCTGTCTGCAGCCTCTGCAGCGCCAGTTCGATCCCAGCCAGCCGGTGAGGGTCCCACATGGCATGGCAGACCTCTCCTGTCTTGCCCGTTGCTCCCCTCAGCAGTGTATTTCGTCAGTCTGGCTGTTCCGCTCCCCACTCTGTCTCTGGTGAATCATCTCACCCTCTTGCGCATCTGGCTAGTACCCTGGTTCTTGTATAAATAAATAAATCTTTTAAGAAATGGAATACTAAAATACAAAAGTTGAAACCATAAAACACATAGAAGAAAACATACGTACTCTATTCTTTGATGTAGACCCTATAATTGTTGATTTATCAATGCAATCAGAGAAACCAAAGACATTTTAAAGAATGGCACTACATCTAACTTACAAGCTTCTGTAAAGTGGAAGAAAGCAACATTAAAATGAAAAGATAGCCAACTGAATGGGAAAAGATATTACAAGCCATAGGTCAGACAAGGGGTTGATATCACCAAAATATAATTTTTGCAAGTCAACAATAACAAAAAAATACAACCAAAGTTTAAAAATAAACAGAGGATCTAAATAGGCATTTCACCAAAGAAGACATACAAATAGCCAGTGGATTCATAAAAAGATGTCCAATATAACTGATAAGGGAAGTGCAAATTAAAACCACCATGATATTGCATCTCACACTGATTAAATGGGTATCAAAAAGTAAAGAAATAATAAATTTGCAAGTATATACAGAAAAAAGAATCTTTGCATTCTTGGTGGGATAGTAAATTGGTGCAGAGACTTTGGAAAACAATATAACATCCTCAAAAATGAACAATAAAGCTACCATAAGATCCACTATTCACTCCTGGATACCAGATAATAATATGAAAACAGTAATTTGAAAATATATATGCATGTCTATGATCACTGCATCATTATTCACTGTAGGCTTGATATGGAGACAACTCAAGTACCCAAAAAGAGATGAGTGGGATAAGAAGATGTGGTACATATACATAATAGGATACTACTCAGTTGTTAAGGAAAGATGTAATCTTGCCATTGGCAACAACATGGATCAGCTTGAGGAAATTATGTTAAGTGAAATTAATCAAAATGAGAAAAACAAATACTATATTATTTTACTTACGAACAACAGAAATTAATTCATCACAATTCTGGAGCTGGGTTCAAGATCAGGTTGCCAGAGGGTAGGACTCGGGTGAGAAGCTAGCCTGCTTATCCTCACCGAATAGAAGGGTCTAGAGAGATATATGAGACCACATTTATAAGGGAACTAATGTCATCTAAGAGAGAGCCACCTTCGTGATTGATAGAATCCAAAGATTCCATCTTCTAACAACATCATATTGGGTATTAGGATTCCAACATGTAAATTCCAACATGTAAATTTTTGGAACTTAGTACTCCCTATTGCTCTGTAGCATGAGAATAACTTTTCAGAGAGAAAGAAAGTACCAAGTGCTCACTGAATTTGGGTTGTAACTGTTACAGTAACTGAGCAAGTCAGTTGCCCAATACATGAAAACATGAGTCCATGGCAGGGTGGAATTCCACCTTAGGGAAAAGAAGGGAAATATCTGTCCCATGTAAAGCTAAGCTTGGTGTCACCTCTCCCACTGATAGCATTACACTGCAACATAGTAAATGGCTCAATTTTTTTTTTAATAATCCTGCCTTTAATCACAAACCACCATGCTCAGAAAGCTTTGAAATTAGTGTGACATTTTCCTTCTATAGTGCTTAATTTTAACTTACAAATATTTGTTCATCTTCTGCTTTATTCAGTTTCTGTTGTATTAAATGGCAAAATATATAGACTGAAGTCAGAGTCTTGTGTCAAGTTCAACCTAATGGTTGGCTCATTTTTGCTGTACTGATACATAAAAGTGGCCTTGCTCAGAAATGTCCTTGCTCATTCTCTATGAGAGTTGTTTGTTCCACAGTAATGAGAACATTTAGTGACACTGGAATACATTTTCTATGTGGGTCACATTGTTCCATTTGTCTCTGCTTTCAGATATATTTTCTCATATTTGCATGATTATTTTCTTCCAATTGTTTTATGGATCAACCTGTAGCCAGAAGGTTGCATAGAAGATGTATATTTATTAACTTAAAGTTTGAGAATTTAACAGTAAGGATATGAATGTGAGATTGAGGATACTGGAGGAGGTGAGTGGGAAGAAGTTATAGAGAGGAACTATTTTATCTAGAAAGAATAGCTAAAATATTTAAAAAAATACTTATCAAGAAATGTAAAACTGAGTGGAATATGAAAGTCTTTTTAATGGCAACCAGTAAATGGATTCGTATGGATTGCTTGGTATTGAGAGGAAAAGACGACAAGACATAAAAAATATCTTCATCATTCACAGAGGGGACAGGAAAGAAATCTAAAAATTATAATGAAAAAAGAATGATAATGTTGATATATCCTGCCATGGTGGAAATTAAGAAAAACATCCCATTTACAATTTAAAAAACAACAAAAAAATCAAATACCTATGAATAAACCTAATAAAGGAGGTGAATGACCTCTACAAAGAAAATTATAAAATGTTAAAAGAAATAGAAGACAATGCCAAAAAAGGGAAAGACATCCCCTGCTCATGGATTGGAAGAACTAACATTATTAAAATGGCAATCCTACTGAAAGCAATTTACAGAATCAAAGCAATCTTGATAAAAATTTCAATGACATTCTTCAAAGAAATAGAACAAATATTGATAAAAATCATATGGAGCCACAAAAAATCTTGAATAGTCAAAACTGTTCTGACTAAAAAGGAAATCGAGGTATCACATGTCCAGGCTTCAAACTATACTACAAAGCCATAATAATTAAAACAGTATGTCTCTGGAAGAAAGACAGACATATATACCAATGGAATCAAATAGGAAAACCAGAAATAAACCCATACATATATAGAAAACTAATCTTTGACAAAGGAGCAAATACTATGCAATGGAACAAGGACACTTGTTCACTAGATGGTACTGGGTAAACTAGACCACCACAAGCAAAAGAATGAAACTAGACTACTACCTCACCTCATGCACAAAAACCAAACTCAAAATGGATAAAAAAAATTGAAGAACTGCACCCATAAAATATATAGAAGCAAATATAGGTAAAACACTACATGGCATATATCTCGGTAACAACTTTAATGATTTATCCTCCAAAGCAAAGAAAGTGAAGAAAAGATAAATAACTGATAAGGGACTGATCATATATATCTACAAAGGACTCACATGACTCAACAAAGAAAGAGTAAACAACCTAGTAAAAAAATAAAGGGCAGAAGAGCTAAAAAGACATTTCTCCAAAGGAAATGCAAATGGCCAACGAGTATATGAAAAAAGTGCTCAACATCCTTTATAATCATGGAAATGAAAATCAAAACCACAATGAGATACCACCTTACACCAGTGAGAATGGCATACATTCAAAAAAAAAAAAAAAAAAAACAAAACAGGCTACAACAAATGTTTGTGAGGATGTGGAAAAAAAGGAACTTTCCTACTTTCCTACACTGCTGGTGGGAATGTAAACTGGTCCAACCACTATGGAAAGCTGTGTGGAGGTTCCTCACATTACTAAAAATGGAGCTTCCATATGACTCAGCAATTCCACTCCTAGGAATCTACTCAAAGAACACAAAAGCATTAATTCAAAAGGATACCCACATCACTATATTTATTGTAGCACTACTTAAAATAGGTAAGATGTGGAAACAACCCAAATGCCCCAAAATAGATGACTGGATCAAGATGATGTGGTATATATACACAATGGAATAGGATTCAGCAATCAGAAACAATAAATTCATGCCATTCTGGCAACATGGATGGAGCTGGAAGGGATTATGCTCATTGAAATAAGTCAGAAGCAAAAAGAAAAACATCAGATGGTTTCATTTATAGGAGCAATATAGGGGAACCAAATAAGGGATATAATAAAAATAAAAATAATAAAGAAAAACAAAATTAACAGGCAACTATAATTCAGAGACATTCTGCAGGGGATGCTGCAGGAGGGAGTGGGATCAAAATGGGAGGGAAGGGCATGAGGGACTATGGTGATGGTGTACACGTGAATTGGTGGTGGGAATTTTATGGGACTACACCTGACAGAAAGCAAACATTGTACAAAAATGAACAATAATGTAAAATATAAATTTTAAAAAATACAAAAAGTGGAAAAAATTTCTTTAGCTCTTTATTAAATGTGATTCTTGAATTAAAAAAAAAGTCTTTTGAATGAGTACATATTTGTGATAAGGCAGTAAAGATGTTTTTTCATTAAATTGTAACACGTAGAAATTGTAGTTTTAATTTGTGTGCATATAAATTTTCTTTTATAGTCACTTTGTTATAAAATGCTATTTCAAGAAAATAAGTTGAAATCTAGATTTTTTTCTTCTTTTAAGCAAAAATCTTTGTAGTAATTATGCTATGAAATCTTGGGCCCATTTGCTTCAATTGTGTCTTGTGTTGACACTACTCTTTGGACAATTTCTGTTATCACAAAATACACATAAGAAGGGAATATTTACATAGGAATATTTTTGCAATACTTTTCATTCAACACTTTTCATTCCAGTGAATATAATGTATATTTATCAGGTGGATTTTACTTTGAAGAAAGACTTATTCTGTGTTTATAAAACATAGAACATTGAAAAAGTCATATTCTAAAATTAGTGCCACAAGCATAAAAACAGAAGTTTACTCTCACTGTCCACAAAATATGTCTTCATTATGCAAAAGTAAGTTAACTCTGTCTTGATTTTGAAAAACAAAAACATTCAAAATTAAGCCAAAAAGTCTTCCTTTACATATCAGAAAAGTCTTACATTATTCCACGTCCAGACTATTTCATTGTAATTTCCCTCTATTTAATTTCTTTGTTTCCCTCTCTTGACACCAGTTCATTAAAATACAAAACATCATCTATGAAACTGCCATAGTCAAGATGATATGTAATATTCCATTTCCATAGAATGTTTCCAAATAGTTTTCCTTGAAGACAATGAATTAATATCCTTCTTTTATGTGATACTACTTAGGATCAGTATTTTGCCATTTTAAAATTTTAATAGTTTTTCCTGCAGTGTCTATTTTCTAAAGACAAAATTTTTATGTTTCCATAAAAACAGTAATAATCATAAATAGACTACAAATTTAAGATGTTTAGAAGGCATTGACTGTGTGAGAAAATGCATCATTTATTAATATAGAAGCATGCTGATTTATTCACACTGTCTAATCCTTTTCACAGAATGGTTCTAGATTGATCATAGGTAAACAAAAAACTGAAAGCATAGACCAGTACATCATTTAAAAATTGAAATTTTTGGCATCATATAGTGACAATTTTTTCATATTCATTACGATTCATTTGGCAAAGAAACACCATTATCTCTGTATGTTTTGTCTCATTGCCCCAGCATATTTAAGGTCATATTGAAGTAGAAAATTGCACATTATCTCAGTTCTTTTGGGAACATACTAGTAAATTTTTAGTAATTCCTCATGTTTTATAAGCTTATTAGGAAAGAAACTAAAATGGCATTTAATTCAAATTAAAACCTTGGTAGGAATTGCATGTACAATAAAAACTTCATAAAAATTCCTTAACAAAAACTACATTAACAAAATTAAATAATACCCCTATCTTTAATAAACCAAGGTCATCTCTTTGCACACAATTTTTGCCCAATCTTTGTTTTCTCTCTTCTAGAAGACTTGGTCTTACCTTTTTTTCCCTGGTCTTCATTATTCCCAAATTGGATTATGGAAAATGGGTAGGTGATCCAACTCTAATCCTAAACAAAATGTGAACCCTCTCGCAATTCTATGATTGTGCTCATTGGTTTATGTCTAATATATGTATTATAATATGATTTGATATGTTTTATGTATATGTGGAAGATCACATAATTTTACCAACTGATGTCAATTAAAAAATGATATACTTCATCCCTAACTTCAACTCTGTCATTCCTTTAATTTAGCTTTGATCTCATAGCAGCAATATATTTTCTCAACCCTTTTAGGTTAATAAAGTTTCTTATCCAATACCTATATTTCTTGTTCCCAACAAATGACATTTTTGTCACTTTTTAAAAATTTTTTATTGAAGTACCATTTTTTACATCACTAATAGTACTTTGTAAGTATAGGCTCTTCCCTACCTCCAACAATGTACAGTCATCATATACAAATTACTGCTAATTTTTATCTAAATCAATATTCTGTTTTACTTTACTATAAGGGCATTTTGATTTAAAATT